ACTGAAAAGAGGAAGGGTCAAAGGCTTGGAACCGGTCTGGTCTTCTCCCCTGAAAGCTTATTCAAGCGTTGCGATTGCCTATAGCTAATTTATTACTGAATGTGAAAAAAGGTACTACAAGAACTCAAAATACTGAGATTCATGGTAAAGCCATTCAGAAAATGAGATTTTGAGAGGGAGAAACTAGGTGCAACAAGCAGTAATTATCTGGATCCCTGATAACAATAAAGAATTTTAAAAAAAAAAGCATAAACTTTTAAAAACTGTTAATATATTTAAAAATGCGTACCATTTTGAGGATTTTAATCTCCATAGATTGCAATATTCCACTCTTACTTGTTATGGACACTAAAAAAATAAAAATACTTGAAAGTTTGATTTCAATCATTCAGCACTTGATACCATATAGAAACGAATATATTAATTACATATATTATCCTTTTAGCAATACAGATCAAGTAAAATAGATTTAGTAATATACTAATCTTATTAGTAATAGACATATTATATTGGAACAATACAATGGACGTATAAGGAATTCATATCTGCATGAGTTGTTTGATTACTTTTAAAGCTAGTACAATTTTCAAGAATTAATATCAAGATTATTACACAAAATCTTTGTATCAAAGTTAATTCACAATTTTGAATTAAAAATAGAATTTAAAAAGTAGTTTATATACATACAGATAACGAGTAACAAGTGTCAATTTCATAAATACCACTGAATTGACTTCGTCATAAAGTTGTTCGGTCGTTGTTCTGATTATTGTAAACAGAAGCATGGCTATGGCTACTTCTTTAGTACTAAATTCTACTAAAACATGCAAGCCAAGGTGTAAAATTTGTTATTTGCAATTCTTTTAAAACTGAGACAATTTAACTGACAAAGTAGAAATAATTGATCTTGTTAAGTAAATACATCAATTCCATTAAAGGTACAAATTAGCAATGCCTAAGATTAATAATGAAGAAATTTTTATCCTTTTGCTTTTCAAATATTAACTATATCTGCGAAATTTTTGTTGTAAAACACCAGGATCTCAATAAGTTTAATTAGAAAAGTCAGATACAAAGATAGACGATTTTTCTAAGGAAAAGTGTTTCGAATGATGTTGAAAAACTTCCCCAACTGGTTGTTAAATATTTCTTTGAAGAAAGAAATTTTTCACCCGGTGATTTTCAAATATAAACCACCGCAGCGAAAAATTCCATTCTGTAAAGAAAAGTATGCACAATAAAAGTTTACGTGTATATTTGTTTATTGAAGTCCACTGAAACATGTCAAAAAATGTCAAGCAATCATTACAGTACCTGTCGAGAAAAATATTGGATGATTATGTTGAAAATTTTATTTAGATCAAATTAAATACAAAGACATGAGTAAAATAGTTTTAAAAAAAAGCAACAAAAAAAAAAATTTTTGAAACAAACGTTTATAACTAGTAGAAGGCAATTTAACTTCAACGGAGTCATGTTAATTAAGCAATCTTGTCACAAAAAATTTCCATGGTTGAACTTGTAGATTTGTTTCTTTACAGAAACAAAATTTTCACCCGGTGATTTTTAAATTCAAACTACCGCGGTGAAAAATTTTGTTCTGTAAAAAACGAAACAGCATTTTAGTCACAATGGAGATTTTAGAAGTAAGTAATCCCTTCGATTAAGCAATGCACCTCCCGGTAAAAGTTATGAGAATTTACCGAAGAGGAGCCTTGCCTTAACAAAGGAATGAGCTTCTGCAGAGCATGGTAGTTCGTCAATCTTTCTTTTGGTGGCTCTAACAGAATCTGCAGTTTTCTTGCTGAGATTATATAGTTATCAATTGAAACGTCAGTACCTACATGAAAAAATTAAATAGAAACAAGTAAAAAACTGAAACTTGTAAAAATATTTAACCACATTTTAAATATCCGTAGCAGATAATGCTAGATCAGTAGTTTTGGCTTTCACGAAATCCAATATTTTAACTGGTGAAATTCAATAAAATTTTAAACTCATCAGAAAAAATATTGTATTTCATAAAATAATTAAATCTCTTCGAAAAATATAGAAGAGAATCTATTAACTATTCCTCTAACAAATTCTTGATTAATCAAGACTCTCACGAAATCTAATATTTTAGGTGGTGAAATTCATTTTAAAATTTAATCTCATCAGGAAAAATATTATATTTCATGAAGAAATTCAAGTTTGTTACTGTTTATGAATTCTGCTGGAGGTTTGTTTCATTTCACACTGATTTCTGCTGGAGGCTTGCTTCATTTCTTACTGAATTCTGCTGGAGGCATGCTTTATTTCTCACTGAATTCTTCAGAAGGCTTGCTTGATGATTACTCCATTGAATCTTCTGCTGTTGAAAAATCAACTCAAACAAAATGAATATTTTAAACGATGATTTTGTTTAAAAATACAAGTCAACCGTATGAAATATTCTTTCCGTCAGAGGCAAGCAGCCCAATAGTTATCTCTTTTCACAAATGATTAAAAAGTAAAAGACACATACAAAAAAAAAAAAATCAGAAAAATTTAGCTGTATGAAGTTTCCAATACTTTGAACTGCAACTCAAAGCAGGACAGCGGGGTCATAATTGTCCTTTTTTAAAATTCGAAATTTTTTTAAATCTAATTCAACATCAAACTATCTGAAAGGACGTATGTTAAACTGCTTTTTGGTGTTTACCTCCAATCAAAATAAATCAACAAGATACCAAATTCTGTATATTAATAATACAAATACTAAAGTTACCAGATCGAAAAATTGCTTCCCAAGATCAAGTTCTAAGATCAGGATTTAACAATTCGTTTGGGCAATCTAGAAATTAGATAAGAGAATTTTAATGACTAATCTATAAACACAACTCGACCGACATTTTTTGAATATCTTCTACTTTTCATGAAGAGCAATAATTTACCCGAAAATTTGTTGCAACAACAATCACAAGAGCAAAATATAGTTTTCCATCTTTTATTCTGCATTCAGGAAGCCAGAACATCGGATTTTCAATTTGGGAAATAAATAAGGAAATCTGGGCATATGCAGCAATTACATCAGCAGGTGGATTTCATAAAAAAGTTCATAAAAAATACGTACTTTTTTTAAAGTGACTTACCTTCCAGAGCGCAAGGCTACTATTGGCGATTTGTTATTACAACTACAAACTAAGTTAGAAAAAGTGAATAAAAGAAATTAAATTCTAGATCAAGTTGGTACATACAAGTTCAAAAAATCAGATATTCTTAAAAATTTATAAACTATTTATAAAATATTTATAAAACAAACTTTTATAAGACATATTTATAAAAATACTTACTCCAATATCTTATGCAGAGGATTTTCACTTTCCATCAATTGCAATATTTCACCCGGTGATTTGTTATAGCTACAATAACCAGAGTGAAGAATCACATTGCACGGAAAGGCCATTTCAAATCATTTAATTGGTCAACAATTGGTGCTATGACAAAGACTGTCATTTTTCTTGTTGCTTCTGTGCTTTCCTGCTTGAAATTAGTTAAAATATTTATAAAAATCCTCCTCCCATTCTTCTTATGCAAAGGATTTTCTCTTTTCATAGATTGTGAACTTCACCCATGATTTGTTATAGCTACAATAACCAGAGTGAAGAATCACATTCCATGAAAAGACATTTCAAACTCTAACTGATGCTATGTAAAGGACGACCATCCTTACATTTGTTTTGTTGCTTTGGGAACTTTTTAACCGTTTAGTTAATGATGTAGGCGTAATGTTATGTTTCATATTTTGCATCTGGGCACCTTCATTTACAGTTGATGTTCATATGTTATGCTCCAGATTTTATTGTCCAGCCCTATAGGGCATGTATTTTCTGTTAATTTATATTACGAAATTAGTTGCAGCTTGGAACTCTGTAAACAGTACAACTTTACATGTGTACATTTACACCCACGCTACACAGGGTTCATTATTCTTCATTCAAGTTCTCCTTTGTTCAACAATCTATTCGCGTTTTCATGTACTGATATGACACAGATGTGCATACCGAAATTTTATTTATTTCCAAGATGATCCCTATTGGGGCCGGGTGGCTACTTTAAATAAAATTAAATTATTCAACATATTAATTTGCAAATTACATGTACTTTAGTGAATTTTTAATTATTTTAATAGTTGCGTAAACGTGTAATGCATAAAGTGGTATGTATCACATTGTTAGCGAATTGACTGGAGAAAAAATATTATCCCTATATTTTTGCATTGGTGAGAATTCATCTAGTTCATTGAAGAAAAGTATTATTAGAGTGTTAATACAAAATAGTTTAAAGAAACCCATATACCTACAAGTGAAAAGTAGCAATAGAAAAATCCATGCATGCGGTTTCATGTAATTCATGTAACCCAAGCCATAACAAAAGTAGCAATATTTTATCTTTAAATCTTAAGTACTTTCGATTATGAAAATAATTTTTCTGACGGTTATAAAATTTACAAAGCACTTTTGTAACAAGTTATAATTGGTTTAAAGACACAGATTCTATTTAAAGATCCTCAACATAGAACTTATCACGACAAATTTTGTTTTATCACATAGTCCCATTTTAAAGTCCTAAAGTCAGGTAAAACTAGAGTGCAAATACTGGAAAAGTGTAATCAAAATGCAACCAAATATTGCAGGCCTAATTCCATACTTTTCTTCTGCAATAATTTGCATTTTGATATTTTGAAAAGAAATTAAGCATCTGGAACTTCATGGCACACTCTTTATTAATCCTCTAAGGTCTTCTTTAAATCTTGTTATAGCTACTTATTAAATAAATAAATATGAAATTAAATGTATCTACATATACCCTTTACTCCTCTTTTATTCCTTTAACTATCAAAATTTTACCTTTTTCTTACACAAAAGCTCATAAATTTGATGGTTCTAAATTTGAAGGTTTTAAATTTGATGAACATCTAGACAGGATGCCCTTCATTTTGTGTGAAGTGTGTGAACTTGAAATGATCGACAAAGTAGTTAAAATCAAAAATTATTTTATTTAAGCTTAAAAAAATATTTACAAAATTGCAGCTTTGTATGAAAGGAAAATTCATGCATCCCAGTTCCTATAATTAAAAAGAAAAAATTGTAAGGTAATTTATTATTTAAGGTAGGTATCATTAAGAAGTGAGATGCGATTACAACCCAAATTGACAAATTTTAGATTTCTGAGCAAAAAAAATTTATTGAACCAAATTGAATTTGCAATCCCTCAATTTTATTACGTGAGCATATTTCGCGTACTTTTGGATTCACTCTAAGTTAAAAACATACAAATTAAAAGCATTGCTTTTTTCTTAAATTTGCAAAAAAAGTAAAAATTTAAATTTTTGTTGCATCTGGTGCTTCATATAAGATATAAGCACTCATAATCCTCCTCTTTTGCCAGCAAAAATAAGCTAAGCATATGTACCCTCCCTCTTTAAATGCTTTTCACAATATTTGAATGTCTCCATAGCATTTACAAACTACTTACATGATATTTACTACATGATACTTTATACTAGATGCATGATACTTACATGATATTTGATGTCTACACTTATATTTGCCAACATGTAACACTTAACTTACTTCCAAGCAGCGTTTAAAGATGTTCAAAAATTATCAAGTATTTAATAAAATAAAAAAGTTGTCAGAACAATCTGAAACTACACCCTAAGGAATTTAAATAAATATAAAATTTACAAAGATTAATTCAGAGCATTGTCGAATTCGGGCTTGAAATTACGAACAGAAAAATCTTAATCTATCTGAAAACAAAAATTGTAAAAAGAAAAATAGGTTAAAATGTTATGTGGTTTAAAACTGTTTTATGAGGTAAAAAATATCAAATTTAATTTATTATTGTTGCATAATTTTTGTATAATCTGAAACATTGTTTAATAATTTATAATACCTGATAATCTCCATTTTTAAAATGAATATTTACAACAAAAATGCAGAACAGATGATATTAAAAAAGATATAATATTACAGAAAATGTAAATTTTCCTTAATGAATATTGGAAGCTTTGATTACTATTACTGTGATTACTATTACTACTGTTCAATGAATGAATTCTATTACACTTTCGTATGAACTGGACTAGAAAACTTTCGTCCGTGTTTTCTTATTTACAACAATCTTATAATTAAATGAGTTTAAACAAAGGAAAAATGACAAGAAGCACGTATTGCCCTATCCGAAAGAAAATCCCATGCCTGGATACTAAATAAAAATATAAAACACATAATAAACTGAAATAGATTCATTTATGACTAAAATTTACCTGGCTATTAAAAAATATCAAATCATTCGGCGAGTGATTCTTCAGCCTTTTACGTTATATCTGTTACAGTGGAATTAACCTAGGAAGATAATTAACACCTTAGACACAGAATAACAGAATTTTATATCATAGGGGCATAAATTCGCAACAAAATATCCAACAAAATTCGTCAAAAAGATTTAGCCTCAGATAATGTTTTCTTATGAATTTCAAAAAATTAAAAATAGTTATTTGAAAATTTAAAATAAAATTTGTAAAATAGAAACTGAATGGATAGAATGGATAGGAAAAAAACCAGTAGATCTTACGAAATTTAAATATTATAATAACTGCAGCATAATATATTAAATATTTTACATATAGAGAATTTTAGGGACTTTTATTGTCTTCAAAGTACAAGAACTTTATTACACTGATAACTATAAATGGTCTACAATATTTTACATTTATGATTGATATTAAATGAACTTTAACTTGAAATGCTTCTTATTATATTCACTCATAATTTTGATAGTAATAGACAATTTATTATTGATATTTTTAAACTGGTCACTATGAATAAAGTTTTTAACTGGGAATGAGCCCTTCATCATTATGTAAGTGTAATGCATATTAACAATAAATTGCGTTAAAATTTTATTTCTATAGGAAGGACAGGAGAAATTTTAATAAATCAGATGACCAGGAAAAACTGGCAAAATCCATTTGTCTACTGGTAAATCGAGTAGAGTTGGCAGCTATGAAACTAGCATTCGGAATACAGGACTGACATAGAATGAAATTGTTGGTAGAAGTTGTTTTACATTTAGATTATAACCTTTAGATTATATATTTTAAGCATAGAATTTAAACCTTTAGATTATGCATTTTTAACAAAAATTAGTAAAGATAGTAATTACCATTGGTCATCACTGGACAATGCAACGATCAATAGCGTTTTGGACTGTTGTGGTAATAGTTTCTACTACAGCTGTAGATATAGTTTCAGCTACTGTTGCAGCCCTAAATAAGAAAAATTATAGAAATGCAGTGTATCATAGTAAAAAGATAATGGTAAAAAAAAATTTAAATACACTATTTTTAAAATAATGAGGTGTTGGTTCTGCATGCACTGAAATCGCTAAATATGAAATGGGTTCTTACTGTTCAACTTGTTCGGTTTCTTCCATAGGAGCCTGTACAACTTCAGTAGTAGATTCTCCTGCCTCTGACCTAAATAGAATATTCTTTAGTTCTTCTATTGCAAAATTCACAAAATACATATTTTTATGTACTTTTATTTACCGGGTAGTATCTGGATTTGCTGGAGCAGAAGCTTGCACAGAGCTTCTGAAAAATAGGAATAGTACTTGAAATTACAAAAAATGCAAAATAAAATTGCAAAAATTACGGAATTTATTTAACATTTACATTTTAGATTAAACTGGATTGTAACGTTTCAATCAAAGCTGCTTTTATAAGAAGTTATGGCGATATTGTATCAAACTCAATCGCCTGTTTTAGCCAATTGCTTCCATTTTGCATTTTTCTACTCACTAAATAATTATGCGTAGTTTTATAGTTACTTTTGTAATAAAATGTTTCAGAATTTAATACCAAATCTACTAAATGAATTTGAAAATAGCCAATAAACTTTGATTTTTGTAAGAAAGAAATGGGGGAAAGGTACCTAGCATATTTTAGTATACATTAAATCTATTAGAATTTTATTCAGACTATTGAGCATTAAACATCTTTATTTTCAATTGTTATACTTCATAAATATTAATTTCAAGAAAATTTCGTAATCAGAATTTCACGACAATTTGAAGAAAGCTATAAAAACAAAATAGGAAAGATTTAGTTAATGCAACCCCTTAAAAAATTGCTTTATGTTTTGTTTGACCATGATCAAAAACATAAAGGAGGAAGAATTCTGTCAAGAAAAAAAAATTTGAAAATTGTCAAGACAGGAGAAGTAGACATCATGCAATAAAAAATTAAACAGTCTGATTTTTTTTTAATAAAGAAAATTGAAAAATACGAATTGTTAAGAAAAGAATTGTTATACTCACTCTTCGCTTAAACTCAGACTCACTTCGTCATCAGACGTTTCCGGTTGCTTAAATATATCTCTTGATTTAACGACTTCATAACCAGACTTTTTACAAGTTTTGGCATAAGCTTCATTCATCTGAAATAAAAATATTCATCTTTAGTGGAGGGTTTACTGTTTACTGTTACTTACTGTTTTTCTTGATAAAACAGATTTTTTTTTTTAAACTTGGAATGAATCTACTCTTTAAACTGAAGATTTAATCAACAATCTAGAATAGCAATTACGCTAGTTTTAAGTATTAATGATTCTAAGCAATGGCTGAAAAAAATCTTTTTTTTTCTAAGAGATCGCTATACCACGTGAAAAATTTCTCACGACCAATTCTATTTCTACTCTCCATACGGAAAAAATCAGGTTTGACATTCCTAGAGTGATTTATGAAGTTTCAAACCTAAAAATGAATATCGAAATGCAAACAAATGAGAGAATTTTATTGTTATCAATCGAAATGCAAAAATTAAATTGAAGGATATTTTGAAAAAAATTGTTTAGCATTTGAAGCTGCATGGCTTACTCTATGCATGTCAGAGTTTACTTTTATCTTAACTGGTAGCTCTAATTTTAATACACCAATATACTTCTCTAATTTATTCAGCAATTGAGATGAGGCATAATTTGCAGAAAAGTTTAGTACCCTCTTAAACGAAATGAACTAATCTTAAATGAACCCTTCAAGGAAATTAGAATTCGGTATTTCAAGATTTGCTTGAAGTTGAACTTTAAAAATAAAATGTTTTTGCAATTTATAAACTACAAACGAATAAACCCTAGTTTAGCAACTTTCAATCTATTAGTATACACTTCTCTTAGATAGAATATTTCAAAAGTAAACATCTTTCCTTTTTTAGAGAAATTTTCAGTTTTCCTTCGGCAAAGGACAAACAGATACACTGAGCTGAAAATCTGCTTTCCTAGCGCAACTTTTAATCAGTAAACGAATTAAACCACTCTAGAATTCCTAAAATAAAAAATATATTTTCCAAATGAATGATTTGGATTGATTGTAGTGAAAGGAGTTATCACTCCATGAAATTTGATTTACTTATATGGTTTGGATTAACTCATAATGTAAGCATATACTTTTTGCCCAATACCACGTGATTTATACACAAAGCGATAGTGGTGCAAGTTCAATTTTGGAAATTTGCCTTAAAACACATTGTTGATAATTTAAATTATTCGTTTTTTTCTTCTTGAATCTGGACAGCTGAATTTAGACATTATCTCTATGTTAATAAAAATCAAAAAATAACCATACCAAAAAAAATTGCAAAGAGAACTTTGGGAAAAAAAAAGAGTTCCTACGCAAGATAAAAGCTCATAAATTTTTCCCAAAATCTAGGAATTCCTGAAATAGCTAAAATATAAGGCAATGAAATTCAAACTAATAGTTCAAATCACTAACTGCTGTATTTTCCATTTATGATTTTTAACTCTTTCCCATATGTCGTATATGATTAAACATCATAAATTTTTATTACGTTTAAATTTCACAATTATTATATTTTACTCATTTTCTTACTTTACTGATTTAATAATTTATTTCTCACCTTCTTTGATATATTTTTTACTTTGTTTTACTTTATTATAATTTTAAATAAAATATTTTAAGAATCTTTCTTGACTTGTGCCACTATTGCAATTAAAAAGATTAATTTGGGTATAAAAATATCAATCTCTTTACCATATTAACACCTTTCCTAAATCTTTGATAAAAAACGTTTCCTTACCAGCATGTTTGCCTAAACGTTGTAAATTCAATTACAAAGACTAGATACATCTTTGGTAATGAGGTATTTGCTCTTGTTTTTAATTAGAACTTACATCTTCGCATAAAAATATTCATAGAATATTTTTATCATAAAAGCTTTAGCAAACAGAAACGTAACCTTCAGATTTAGACATATTAATATTAACTTCGTTTGTTCTTATAATCAAAAGAATAATAACTAACTGAGCTAAATGAACTGAATAGGTTTGAAGTTTGGTTCGTTCGGTTTGTTTCATTCGGTTGATTCATTAAACGAAAAAAACTTATTTGCTAAGAAGAACCGTCTTCACTACATTAATTATATCAGCAAAGAACATTCCTAATTTCTAAGGAACGTGGCCATGTCTCAATTCAAGAAAAGTAGTGCTCTAAAATAATTTTTTTAGAATTACACGTACTTATTTACAGCGCAAATTTTCAAAACTCTGCAGTCATTTGAAAATCATTTAATTATTAATAAAGACTGAGAAGTTGGGTGCACTTATGTACCAAAGAAATTAGAATTTAGCACTAGAAAGACAAACTTAGTGTATACCTATATTGCTCAAAAGCAGTCAAAATTACTGGATTAGGAAAGAATAATTAATGTGTAAAAAGACTTGTTTAAAATTAATTTTCAATATTTTTTTACATTATTTACAGTTATATAGCAAGTTATTAGTAAATATCAATAAAAAAAATAATTTGTTGCACAAAAAGTCACAAAATTGAAATTGCCTCATTTCATACCTGCCAACATTGGAGAAATAAAACAACGGAGCGTATGCCAGTGATATTTTTTAGGCTACGAGTTAAGTTTTGATACATCATGTAAGTCAAAAAGTGAAATTCAAATTTGGAAATTATATAAGCACTTACATTTATCAAAGTAAAAAATTTATATATTAATCTTAATCTAAAGACGATTTTTTAAACCATTATTTATAATTATTTAGACTATTAACACTTAACATACTGCAGCACCATCTGTTGTGTAAAAAGAGAAGTAGTTTTGCCATCAGTCGATATTTTATCCCAAATTTGAGAAATTTGAAGAATAAATTGGTAACAGGAGATAGTCGTAAAAAATAGGAATCTTCGTTAGGAAACAATAGACTTGGCAGGTATGTTATATACATCATTGTTTTTCTAATTGAAATTAAAAAGCAGTCAAAATGACTTCGTTGGCCAATCCAGTGTTAAAGACAAATTCTCAACGCAAATATTCTTTAAAAAGGAAATTTAAAAAAGAAAAACTCATATTTAAGCAAAGAAACTTCTTGACCTAATCATTGAACATTTTTATAAACAGTATATTTAAATTGTCTACAACTTTACAAACACTAAATCATCGTGATTAACAGCACTAAATCTTTATAAATTATAAATATTGCAGATCTTTATATTTTTTTATTTTTTACACAAGTTAAAATGCATGAAAAAAATAGCAAAAAATTTAAAAAAATATTATTTTTGCTTAATGCAAAATTTTTATTAACTTGTGTAAGCTATCAATAAGAACTCATCAGTTGTATCATTTAACACTTAACGGCGTTCGAAATATTTTAGTTTAATTTTATACATTTAAATTAATTTATACTGATTTCTACTATATACCACTTTATATTCAATCTGAATAAGAGGCAAAAATATTCTGCTCAAAGGAAAAATGCTTTTAAAACAGTTTCTTTCGGTTAACTATGTGTAGTACCGTATTGTCAATAACTTTTTAAATCAAATCAATCTGGAAAATTTAAATAAATTTTTAATATATTTAACTACTTTTGGACATAATCTTTTGAAATGTTTAGAAACATTTAAACACAAAATCATTACATGAAACAATACACAAAGTAGTTGAGCTTATATCACAATTTTAGCTAACTCGCAAAATATTCCAATTACCCAATTGAATTCTTATTTTTCAGTACTTCCCTAACTTCTCACAAAACTTTCCATCCACCCCCATTCACTGTAATTAAAGAAATCTAAACACTCTTTACAAAATGATCTTTTCATTAGAATCTTCAACGTTGTTTAATTCATCCTTAACCCATCAAGTCTTAAAACTATCCATAAAAAAACGCGAAACTGTAGCCTCGTTTCCCAATTAGCAAAATCTACCCACAATCCTCTTCGATTTTAATTCGATCCTTGGATGGTAGAAAACAAATCTCAATCCTTAACTCGATTAAAACTTTTCGGGGGGGGGGAAGTGGGTGTTGCAAATTAGCAATACTTAAAACGAGGCTCCAGATTTTATGCCACGATGGACAAATAGCTAAACAATGGAGGGAAATATTTTGAAAGGGGGTGTGCTATTAATCACGTATCCTTTATTGGGCACGTGGGAATAAGCAGACGGGCTTATTGTAAGTTGGCTAATTCGGGAATCCTTATTTGAGATTTGCTTTTAGGATGGCGAGATTGGCGACAAAATTATAAGACCATATTTGCTATATTCCAACTAACTAATATTTTTAAAATAGCTTACCAGATTCAAAGCATATTTTCAGCCTATGCGCAGTCATCAGATAAAAGAATTAAAAATTAAATCCATCTTACATTGCTGCATTGTTTTAATTTGAAGTAGATTCGGTGTAGAGAAAAAGTGTTAATAGATTCCGTATATTGTTAAAATTTAAGCTATAAGACTTATAGTTTTACATACAAATCAGAAACTCGCAGCCAAGATTTTTTTTGAAAAACCTCGAAGCCTAGAATGTTTTTAAATAAACCTCGAAGCCTAGAATGTTTTTAAAAAAACTGGCAGCCTAGAATGTTTTTAAAAAAACTGGCAGCCTAGAATGTTTTTAAAAAAACTGGCAGCCTAGAATGTTTTTAAAAAAACTGGCAGCCTAGAATGTTTTTAAAAAAACTGGCAGCCTAGAATGTTTTTAAAAAAACTGGCAGCCTAGAATTTAAAAAACTCGCAGCCTAGAATTTAAGAAAAACTAAAATTTGGTCAGTCAAAAATTATCAATATTCTAGCCTAACACAAAATGTACGCATTATAGCTCATAACATAGGTTTCGTATAAAAAAAATCAAATGTCTGGATAAAATGCTGCTATAAAAACTGAGCTATAAAAGAAAAAAAAGCGATCGAAATAAGTAAAAAAGAAAAAAAATTCAGACTAAATTACACTTAATTATTAACTTTAAAACTATAATACTAAGAATTTCTTCATAATATTTTGTACTTTATTACCCACATTTTTGCGAATTTTTTCATTATAAAAAGGCATAATTAACATGAGAAAAATTTCATTTTAAAGCGATACAAATCCAAATATTATACACTACATTTGGCAACCCTATACTTC